CCTGAGTCAATGAGGGGAGGGGAGGGGGGGAAGGGAGAAGAGACTGACCCACCCCCTAGGATGTGGTGGAGGTGGGCATAATATGGGCAGAACTGCAGTGCCACCCTAGGAGCTGCACGCCCTGGCATAGGCCTGCCTCAGTTCAACTCTCATGTGCATCTGCTCCTGGTAGTGCATGTGGCTCTTGTTGCCCAGGCTGTCAGCCATGCAGCTGTAGATATCTGCATTCCTGTCCCTGGTGCAGAAATCCTGGAAGTTTGCCTCCTCTCCCCACACCTTAATTAAGTCAAGGATCTCCACACCTGGGAACTGGCTTCCAGCTCCCTTGCACCCATGTCGAACTCAGTTGGAGCACCAAGGTCTCTTGTGGCAGCTGCCAACACTATGCAGGCTGCTGCGTACCACAAGCCCTTTCTCCTGTGGCTACACCTCTAAAGCTTACAGGGCAAGGGGAACTAGAGTTCTGAGGAGTACGGACAGAGTGGGCCAGCAAGGAACCTATGGGATTTCCTAGAGTCCTATTTCAAAAAGAATCTAGCTGCTCTGTCTACACACCATATTTCAAAATAAATCATAAAATGAGGCTTACAGAATCCAGACTAAGGCTCCTATTATTTCAATATTATTTTGAAATAAGCTTGCTATGTAGATGCTCAAATAGTTATTTTAGAATAGCCTCCATTATTCCAAAATAACACTGCTGTGTAGACATGCCCCCTCTGATTTATTTATATAGCTGTTTTCTGTATGCCCCATTTTGGTGCATTTACTAACTTAAGTTGGTAGAGAAGATAATACATTTACTCCAAACGTAAAATGCAGGACAATGTAGCACTTTAAAGACTAACAAGATGGTTTATTAGATGATGAGCTTTCGTGGGCCAGACACACTTCCTCAGATCAAATAGTCAAAAGCTCATCATCTAATAAACCATCTTGTTAGTCTTTTAAGTGCTACATTGTCCTGCATTTAGCTTCAGCTACCCCAGACTAACACGGCTACATCTCTATCACTACTCCAAACGTAGTGTTTTGTTTTATTTGATTTTTTTTTTTAAACATACATCTTAAGCATTGCTCTTTGTTAATTGTCCCTTGTTTTAATATTTTTTCTTCTTCCATATCTATAAACTGTTTCAAATAATATCCTTACAGGTAGGTTTTTGTTTGTATTGGTGGCACACATCCACACAACCTCAATATTCATGTTGCATATAAGAAGTTTCAACCCATCCAAGAGATAATTCAACCCACCCCAAATGGAAAACGTTAGAGGGAAGAAGAGATTACTTACCTCGTAACTGTTGTTCTTTGAGATGTGTTGCTCATGTCCATTCTGATTAGGTGTACGCACGCCACGTGCACGGCTTCCAGAGCTTTTTTCCCCCCTTAGCAGTATCCATAGGGCTAGACAGGGAGCCCCCTGGAGTGGTGCCAATATACCGGTGCATATATACACCCTGCTGGCCCCTCCACCTCCTCAGTTCCTTCTTGCCAGCTCCTTCCGACAAGGAGAGATGGGCGAGATGTAGAATGGACATGAGCAACACATCTTGCAGAACAACTCTCCCCATAGTGGATATTGTCAGCATCAGGCCCAGGTCGTGTGGCACTACCACTGGACAAAATGGCAGATAGCTTGTCAAAGGCCCTGTGGCAAACGCCAGCATCAATCACGCCAACAGAGAAAGGGGTGGAAAGGCGCTACTATGCGCCTCAAATGGGGCATGAACATCTTTTTACGCACCCCGGCCCGGGGTCCATAGTAGTGCAGGCACCAGGACAAAAGGAGCGTCAGAGACTTCTGGGGCCGACCCAGAAGGCTAAGGACCCTAAAAAGCTGGACCTCCTAGGTAGGGAAACCTACTCCATGGAAAGCCTGCAGCTCCACATAGGGAGCCATCGAGCGATGCTGGGGCGCTACGCCTTTAACACCTGTGCATCAGTGCAGAAATTTGGGGAGTGCTTTCCCTGAGTCCTGGCAGGAATTCGGGGCCATCATGGAGGAAGGAAAGGTGGTGGCAGCCTGCACAGCCCTCCAAGCAGCCCTAGATGCTGCAGACTTGGTGGCACGAACCATGGCCACAGCTGTGGTCATGAGGCATAGTGCATGGTTACAGGTTTTAGGAATTTCATCAGAGGTGCAAACCACAGTTCAGGACCTACCATTTGAGGGGTTGGGCTTGTTCTCCAAGGAAACTGACACTGAACTCCACAGCCTAAAAGAGTCAAGGGCAACACTAAAATCCTTCAGGATACATACCCCAGTGCCTCAGAGCCGACCCATCAATCCTAGGCTATACCATAGACCCTTCCAACAGGGTTTTGGGCCAGAAGGAGGAGAAGGCACAATAATGGCTGTCCTGACCAGTTTAGAAATAGACAGAGGGCCTAGGTCAGATTCTGAGAAGGTGGAGGGGCCAGAAGGGGCGTGTATATATGCCTCAGTATACCAGCGCCACTCCAGGGGGCTCCCTGCCTGCCCTTATGGATACTGCTAAGGGAAAAAAGCTCCAGAATCCGTGCACGTACACCTAATCAGAATAGACATAAGCAAGCACTCAAAGAACAGTGCTCTACAGTATAAAGCTTAACATTATACTGCAGAGCCTGCAGCAAGTGTAACCATGTATCCACAAAGATTTTTTTACATCCCTTGTAATCTTCAGTTTCAAGCTAAATTTGCCATACACATCTGAAGTCACTAGTGAAATTAAGACTTCTCTCCTAGACCCAATTATTTACAGCATTATGCTCCATCTGAACTAATTTTGACCCAGGACTTGTTAATTGAGTTGAGGACATGTGTCTGCTCTTGGAACTTCAGTGCTTAACACCATCCTGAAAAAGGAAAGAACAGATAGAGAATACACAAGAATACTTAATGTAGCCTGCTGAATTTACAAGTTTTATCAGGAAACAGCTGAAGTTTGGAATGAAATAATACTGAAATGAGAATGGTCAGATGTTTATAAAACCCCAGAAATATCCACACCAAAGCAGACCTGTTCCAAATGCAAGCTTCTTTAGAATGGGACTAAAGGGTTTGAAGATCCAAGTATCACAACAAAGCAACATAAAAAGGAATCAGGACTATCAAACTGACCATGTGCAGTGGTAACAACCAATGTACCCTAAAAACAGGATTGTAACAAAGGAGGACCTTCCTAAAACCAGAGCTTAGAACTCCTGAGTTAGGGAAGTTTCTTGATCATGTTTACATGCAGGGTCCCTGATGCTACCATGAAACTTGTGATAAGTGTCACTGATGAAATAAAATTTTTAAATAGTGGGGAGTATTTTCATTGCAATGTTTAAACATCTCAGGCCATGCAAAGATCTAGTTTGTAGGCAAAAATGCTTTAAAGTAGTATTTTCTCCAACTAGAAGATGTGCATATGATCAGTGATAGGCAGAGTGGGACAAGATTTCAACCATTCTCTAGGGCAAGGCTGGGCAATACATAGCCCAGGGGCTGGATCTGGCCCACAGACCATGCTGCTGGGACCCTCGGGCACACAGCTGCCACAGGTCTCAAATACAGTTTGGTGGCTCTCTGCTCTGGAGGGAGGAGGCGGCCTCGTATGATGTCCCCAGCCTCATCCTGAGTTCCATTGATCCCAGCCACTCTCTCAGTTCCTATCAGCTAAAAACAACCAGACAATAGGAGCTCAAAGATTAGCCTGGAAAATAGGAGCAGCGTAATACTCTTCCCCCTCCCAGAGCTGAGAGCCACATGGAAGTAACAGCTTGCAACTCTTAAGTGCCTGGGGGGCTGCAGCCTCCATCCTAGACCCTACATCTCCACAGTAACACGTAGCCCTTGACCACTTTCCAAAATCTTGGAGTGGCCCCCCCACCAAAAATTATTGCCCACCCTGCTCTAGAGTCTTAATTTTTAAAAGTTAAAGCTAAGTCTGTAGTTACGGTTGTGAACAAAACGTTCAAAATGTGAAGCAAGTGTATGCTATGCCAAGATGTGTCTCAATTTGCAAACAACTTTAAATATGCTAACTCAGCTGCCAAGGATAAAGCTTCGTTAGCCATTTTACTGTTCATAGTAAGCAAAAAAAGAAAGGAATATCAGTTACAGCAAAATGTGGTAATATTCTGCACCTTATAGTCACTAATGTAAAGCACAAAGGACACAAAGATGAAATGAATACAGAGGATCATGAGAGCAATCTTGTCCAAAAGTTAAAGCTCTAGTTGCTTTGCAGAACAAAAGAACCAGACAAAAGGAGGGTAAACATACACATACAATGTCACTTTTCTAGGTTACATGGTCTTGGTATCAACCTAAGTATGGCTTACCCAGCTGCTGAGCGCATGAACAAAAGGAAAAACAATGGGAAAAGTTTGTTAAACAAGATTTGTGAAAAAGGCCCCAGACAGCTATTCTTTGGGACAGTAACATGTCAACTGGAGAGGCTAGTCCAAGTGCCACCACCACTGGAACTCGGAGCACCCTAACCACTTACCCCAAGCAAGTGCCCCCAGCTCTAGAAGGGTAAGCAGCATAACACCCAGCCTCAGAGCACGACTGCCAGCCAAACTAAAATCATTGCACTGGACAGGAGAACTGGCAGGAGGGAGCCTGAAAGCAAAGCGTGAGTGTAGCCATGTCTGGCTGTTTGGGAAGGCTCAGCCCCCTACCCCAGTCTAAATCCTCTGCCATGTAGGGCAACGTTACTATCACCTACGAAAATTACAAACACTTAAGTCGATATGAAGGCAAAATGATATTAATGTCTAGTAGACATCAAGATTTAATATCTGAGCTTTGCTGTTTTGAGATTGATTTTTAAAAAACTTCTGTTTTGTACTTTGCTACAGTCAAATTCAGGATGGATACAGTGACCTTTTTGTTTTGTACAGAAATAGTATGTTTAGAATACAACATGCAATGTTCAGTATTTAGCTGAAAGACTTCATGTGTAGGAAGGGAACATTATAAAAGCCTTCATCAAACTTAAGGTGAAAATCACTAACACAACACGTGACCCTCACATTTTTATTAAGTATGTTCACAAGCAGTCATCTGCAATAGCTCTTTATAGGCTAACATGATGTTATCTGGCGCACACACTATTTTACCTTTGACAAATTTGTAAAGTTCAATTATTGTGCAATTACAATTTTAAATTTAAGTCTTGTATGTTGGAATATTCATTCTCAAAGCATCTTTTTGTAATGGTTGTTTAGTTCACATATAGGCCATGGATTTGTGACTTTGGTAATTTGGACCAAACTACTGTTTTCATTTTAGGAATAAACACAATTAAGGGAAATTTCACTCATTCCGCAACAAAGAATACTCATTGCTAAAGTATAATCAGTAAACACACTTAATGATAGTTACTGTAATATATTTTCAAGAACAGAAGTCTTGCTCCAGGACACATGAAACTTGCTAAAATGTCTCTCAAAGTATTCCAAAAGTAGCAATCAAATTATGGAACACTATACATTTAGTAGATCCACATTTTTTGATAGAACCACCACTTTTCAGTAACACCAACTGTTCTGTAAACATTAAATATTTTACATAACTAAATCCTTTCCTGCCTAGCTAAGTGCAACATCACTCATTTCACAAGTTTTTAAAAAATGAAAGCTTTTTTATGAAAACCAAAATCTGTAACTTGGAACTTGTTAGTCTTAATCCCACGATTCAGCTGCACTTGTAGCGTATGACATAGTAAATCCTCCTGCGTTCATGTCTTTGTCTTGGAAAGTCTAGGAAAAAAAAGTTGATACTAACTTGTATACATTTAAATTTTATTTTAGAAGTTCATCTGTTTTAAACTGAGTCAAAACTATACAACAGGACTATGTATGCGCGCACAGCAGAAAATCCATTAGTGATTTCCCTTTTGAGACTGACCTGTTCTCCAGTGTCAGGCACTTGGGCTGCGGCTGCCTCCTGGGAAATGAAGGCAGTTCAGGATTGTCCACAGGATTATGGGGTTTGGCGATGCCTATTCTGGTATTTGACCAGATGATATGGAAACAATTCCTGGGTTCAAGCATCTCCACTGCAATCCCCCCAGCGTATTTCCTGATCTAGTCTGTAGCAAGTTGATCTATTCTTGTATAATCCCATCTTTGAAAGAGGCTGTTCCAGATCGAGCTGACGACAGCACTCATGGTCACCTGAAAATTACCTACTAAGTTGATGCTCTAGGACATTCTGTAAGACTGGCAGATAGAGCTACCTGATGGAATGTTATGATGTGTCAATTCTGGAGAGTAAAATTTTCTTGACTAAGGCAAAGGGGAGAACTGTGCTTCTTCTTGATATAAATCACTACAGTTGTGTTGTCTGTCATTACTTGATTTGTCAATGCATGCAGCAGAGTTAGAAAACTACTGTGCACACAAGGCAATTGGCTCCAAGTTGTAGAACATTTAGATAGAAGTGACTTTTCAGGTGAATCAAGAGCCTTATGTCTGGCAGTGGTCCATTTGTAAGGAAGTCTCAGGCAACCTGTACTCTCATGTCCATGTGATATCTGATGTGTACTGATTTCAGTCACTTTTGAATGGACTGTAGGTGAAGTCCAGTGTGTGATGCGATACATAGAGTCTGAGGCATGCTTTTATAGGTGTCTATGGGTAAGTGTACAGATGGCTGACGTCTACCAAAATCCAGAACCTCTCCTCAGTAAATAATTCCTTGCTATTCTCAGATCTAATCTGATTCCTATTAATTTGATATGGTTTCACATGATAAGGCATTTGATATGGTTGTGCATGATCTTATCAATAAATTAGGCAAATAAAACTTACATGGGCCTACTATAAGGCAGATGTATAACTGGCTGACTAACCACTCTCAGAGTAGTTAACAGCTCACAATCCTACTGGAAGGGCATAACAAGGGGGGTTCCGCAGGGGTCTGTTTTGGGACAGGTTCCATTCAATATTTTCATCAAAGATTTAGCTATTGTCATAGGGAGTACGCTTAAGTCTGCAGAGGACACGAAGGTGGGAGGGGTTGCAACTGCTTTGGAGGATAGGGTCATAATTTGAAATGATCTGGACAAACTGGAGAAATGGGCTACGGTAAATAGGACAAACGAGAAGTACTCCACTTAGCAACAATCAGTTTCACACATACAGAATGGGAAGTGACTGTCTAGGAAGGAGTACTGCAGAAAGGGATCTAGGGGTCATAGACAAGCTAAATATGAGTCAACAGTGTGATGCTGTTGCAAAAAAAGCAAACATGATTTTGGGATGCATTAAGAGGAATGTTGAAAGCAAGGCACGAGAAGAAATTCTTCTGCTCTACTCTGCACTGATCAGGCATCAACTGGAGTATTGTGTCCAGTTCTGGGCACCACATTTCAAGAAAGATGTGGAGAAATTGGAGAATGTCCACAGAAGAGCAACAAGAATGACTAAGTCTAGAGAACATGGCCTATAGAGGAAGACTGAGGGCGACATGATAGCAGTTTTCGGGTATCCAAAAGGGTATCACAAGGAGGAGTGAGAAAAATTGTTCTCCTTGGCCTCTGATGATAGCACAAGAAGCAATAGAAAACCGGAATCAAGGGAGGTTTAGGCTAGACATTGAAAAAACTTCCTGTCAGAGTATGTCTAGACTACAGGCTTTTGTCAACAGAGGCTTTGTTGACAAGAGCGTCTAGACTACATCCAGTTCTGTCAACAAAGCAAGCTGCTTTGTCAACGTGAGAGTGTAGACGCAAAGGACAGTGTAGATGCAATAATGCCTTCTGTTGACAGAACTGTCAACAAAAGGCGTTAATTCCTGAGTCCCTTCCAGATCTATTTCTATGAATTCTATTGTTTAGGTCTTCAAAACTGTCAAAAGTTGCCAAGGAAGAAGCAGAGGTTCCAACACAAGCAGCCCTTTTACTCTTCTTCCTCTACTGAACATCCAACATCAGCCTCGCAGCAGCTAGTTTTATGCCACTGTCAAGAGCTAATTTGGAGTGATTCCAAATTTTAGATTTAGAATGAGACCCCATTCCTTGAGAATTCCTTTGTTAGAACCCCAGGACAGTTTTATGATTCTCAACCTGCAAGATGACTTCTTCCACATTATGATTCATGCAGCATATACAAAATATCTCCAATTCAAAGTAGAAGTGTCTTACTAAATACAAAAACCTTCTCTTTGGCCTTGCAATAGCACCAAGAGTGTTCAAATATTTAGTAGTTGTCAGCTCACATGAGGAGACAAGGAATCCAGGATACCTGTATCTCGATGACTGGAACATTTAAGGAAGACCACCACAATAGGTGAATAATTCCACTTGATACTAGAACTTACTTTTCACACTGGGTTTTGGGATCAGCAGAAAAGTCCCTTTGTGGATTAAAGTAGTAAGCAAAGGGCCTCTGTCTGGTGAAGCTTTATGATTTGGCTGTGTTATCTTAAGAGCAACGGTACCGTGTGGCTCAAACCTGAGAATGGTTTCACAGACCGTGGCACACAAGTACCGTGTGGCTCAAACCTGAGAATGGTTTCACAGACACCTTAAAAAGGTCACAACATTCAAATGGGAAGGTCATCAATGATTGGATCACTAGCTATGCATCAGATACAATGGATTTCAGAACCTCCATGTGTTCTTGTGGGAGCTATTCTATCAAAATATTATCGCCTCATTTGTACAAGTGCCTAATAATTTGATACAAAGATTCAAAAACCCAGTTTAGTATGGAACTCTCCTATCAAACAAATCAATGTCATGGTGGATCTTTGTCTCCTGTAGCCATTGTTGTAAGCCTTTGTTATTTTTAAAGCCACCATAATGTTTACCTGATTTTTAGATGAGGGTGCCACAGATAAGAAGAGGAGTGTGCTAGCCAAGCCTGGAGTAGGGATGTTTAAAGAAAAAAAAAAAAAGCCCACCAGGGAGTGAGGGTTCCAAGCTGAGACCAAGAGGTTTAGGGTGCTAGAGGGCCTGGGCTGAGACCAAGAGGTTTGGAACACAGAAGTGTGTGGAGACTCTGGCACTCATGGTTTGGAAGTGTAGGAGAGAACTTGGGACTGGGACTGAGAGACTCAGAATGCAGGAGGAACTTGGAGCAGGAGTTTCGGGTGTATGTGCGGGGGGCGCTCCAGGGTCCAAGCTCTGGGCTGAGCTTACCTCAAGCAACTCCTGGAAGCAGCATATCCCCCCTTCCGGCTGCCTCCTTTGCAGAGGCACAACTAGACAACTCAGTGTGCTGTCTCCTATCCACAAGCACCCCTATGTAGCTCCCTTTGGCCACAGTCCACAGGAAATGGGCAGTGCTTGGGTCAGGGCATGAGCCCTTTGGCTGCCCCTATGCATACAGGCCAGCCAGAAAGGAAACATACTGCTGCTTCTGGGAGCTGTGCTGAGCAGGGCAAGCTTCAGGCCCCACTCTCCAGCAGGAGCCCAGGGACTAGATTAAAATTACTGACATGTCAAAAGCAGCTCACAGGCCATAGATTCTCCCCCACCCTCCCTTCTTAGGGTTTCTCAAATATCCACCACAATCTGAGTAGCAGCACCCATCATTACTGAGGCAAACTGTTTCCTAATGTCAAAAAAGAGCAGCAAGGGTGATTGTCAGGGTGGTCACTGAATTATTGCCCAGTACAAAGAATCTCTTCAATGCCTAAGTACCTGAAGTATCAGCAACAGAGTCATTAGCACAAGAGTCACGTGCACAGATAATAGCACCAGAAACTGGAAACAAGGAAGTATGGATTGACACTTCTGGGTGCTTGGTGACTGGTTTATACCAATACTTTAAAGGGACCTGATGTGAGCCATGAACTGCCTTCTGGATGAGCAGCATGAGAGATTTTGTGGCATGGTCAGGTTTTGTATTCATTTTACTAGGTCCAACAGATGATGACATAGGCTCCTGTTTGGTTTCTATAGTGTACTTTTTTTACCCCTTTCTGAGGCTGGATATGAGGAAGGTCTAGGCTGCTGTACGTGAGTGTGGTTAAAAAATTTCAGTCTCCTGGAGAAAGAACACCAGGAGCTTGGAGTAGGGCCACAGCCCACAAAAGCACCAACCAAAGCTGTTCAGGCTTGGTAGGGCCTTTTGTCTCAAGGAGGCTCTTTCTAAGCTCTCCAGGAGAAAGATCAAGATTGATCTCTCTTGATTCAAAGATGGTGGTGAAAAAGGAGCAAAAGATCTGACTATATACTTGGGATGTGTCCCTTTCCCCATCAGATAGAGACAGATAGGATTTGTGTTTTTAAATGGAATAGCCACATCTTAAGAGGGGCCTGTTTTGAACCTTGAGGACAACAATTCAGCCACTGCTAATTGATCCCAGTAACTTGAGTTCCCTAAATACAATAGCAATAGAGGTGGGATTTTGTTGTTCTTAATTTTTAAGGCACTGAATAAAGAAGACTGCTAAACTGCATCAAGGAAAAAGATGCACAAGGTCAAAAGTAATCTGGCACAGCAAGGGCTCCACCTTGCTGTCATGGGAAAGAAGAAGAAATTAAGGGATGGTTGGGCCCACTCCATCATTTATGCTCACAAGTGGATGCTAGAAGTGCAGACATCCTCAACAGATACTGGTCAAAACACATCCAGTCTTGAGTACATGAACACAGTAAGTAGAAACCATGTGGCCAATCGCTAGAAGAACTCTGACTAGACTGCTCATCTCTTATAGCTATATTTTCTATTTGGGGCACTGATGGTTTTGTACAAAACAGGGGAATAATGTGCTACTTTTGTTTATATATGAAGTAAACCTGGTTCTT